GCTGCGAGATACAGATCTGGCATGGAACATGCTCAGTTGCATGTAGCCAACCCGAGAATGGAGAGGTTCTCTGGAGTCCCTTGAACTGGCATCCATTTCACGTTTCTCCTCTGGCGATTGGAGAAACTTTCGCCAGTCCGAGCGCGTTGTTTTCTTTCATCCCCACGCTCGTGTGCAATTGGCCGGGGAAAAATAGGTTGAACTGCAGTGTTGAAAGTTGAATAGCTCCCTATCTTTTTTGCACAACCCTCAACTTGGAGTCCAAAACTTTTCGGGCAGACATGGGGACACCATTGGAGGTGAGGAAACCAAACAGAAACGATCCATTCCATGAGGGTTCCGAATTTGTCAATTCCATTTCTCGTTTATCAAGAGTTCTCAGCGGGAACAATGACACCGGCAAACGGGGCACAACTGCAATGCCTTCATTTCGGCTCCCATTTGTTTTATGAGGTGCAAAGTGGTTAGGCACCATTTCCGTACATCATTGGATAGCCACAATTGTTTAACTCAAGTAGTGCTGAGATTGCCGTGATGTCAAGCTAATGTTGACCCCTCAAGCATCCCCCCAGTTCTTAATCAGGAGCGTCCCGCTGCCGATAAGCCCAAACACATCGACGAGGGAAGACAGGAATCCCCCCGTAAACAGGGAATAGTTCTTAATAACAAGTTGGGGTTGATCAATCAGGAGATAACTTTATATTGAGCACGGAGACGTCATGTGCTACATATCTACCGAAGCTGACCGTCCGGTCCCGTCCGTTGTCAAGTTGGTCAGAGGTCTGTGTGTACTCAACGCTCTACTCAACCTTGTACTTCCATTTGCTGAAGAGTATGTGTTAAGGTTCTCCTATTATTTTAAAATTAACAAATTGGGTTTGAAGTTTATGTTATCATATTTTTCCAGGAAACTTATGCAAATGGCTGGTTGTATAGTCTGATATAGTGTCCATGTTGTGCGCGCGCGTGTAGAGTCTAAGTCAACCTCGCATCTCTGGGTGCTTCGGACAAGTGAGATGCAGTTGATGGACAAACTCCCGAAACCATATTAATATTGTCATATTGGGCTTGGCACTTGTCACGAGGGTGGTAACCTTTTTCCATGACCCCCATGGCCAGGTGCCGGATGAGGGCGCTGAGGCCGGGAATATCCTCGCGCGGATGCCAGGGCAGAGCTTTCAATATGGTGGTTGATCAATTTTCCCTTGGGTCCCAAAATGAGCATGGGAAACTTTTCCTCATGGGAAGTATCTTCTGTTCAGTGGTTTTCCAACCATTGGCCATGTATCACGAATGCTTTGATCAACACCCATACGTGGTACGTGGTTGCCTGCCTCAACTAGGGATCCTTCTGCAACTGCTTTACTGCGGAAGCCGACACGGCATCACGGGAAATCACTAGTTTCTTGTTTTTTTTGGCAGGCGACGACCCTCAAAACCCGGAAATCTGCAAATCACAACGGGAGATCACTATTTTCTTGCTTTTTTGGAGCGGGAGATCACTATTTTCTTGCTTTTTTTGGCAGGCGACGACCCTCAACCCGGAAATCTGCAAATCACAACGGGAGATCACTATTTTCTTGCTTTTTTGGAGCGGGAAATCACTATTTTCTTGTTTTTTTTGGCAGGCGACGACCCTCAAAACCCGGAAATCTGCAAATCACAACGGGAGATCACTATTTTCTTTCTTTTTTTGGCAGGCGACGACCCTCGAAACCCGGAAACCCGAAATGTGATTTGCGGATTTCCGGGTTTCGAGGGTCGTCGCCTCCAAAAAAAGCAAGAAAATAGTGATTTCCCGCTCCAAAAAAGCAAGAACATATATCTCCTGTTGTGATTTGCAGATTTCTGGGTTTCGAGGGTTGTCGCCTGCCAAAAAAAGCAAGAAACTAGTGATCTCCCATATAATCACTATTTGGATCCTCGCTATTTTGAGGTGCCCAAATCACTATTTGATGACCATCTGATCACTATTTTCTTGCTGTTTTTGTCAACTGTTGCAAGTGAATCACTTTTTTCTCTTTGCTCTTAATTTTCAGATTGCTATTTTCTTGCTCCAACCCTCACTCCCAAATCACTAAACAACATATTTTAACCTCCCTCAACGGTTGGCTGGACGAACACTCTTAACCTTAATTGTTGGACTGGTGGTTTCGGGAGTTGAACCCCTGGTACTGTTGCGGCGAAAAGTGCTCGGCTTCCTTTTGGTTTCCCTTGATTCAAAATCAGGTGGCTCGGAGGGTCCCGGGGCTCCCCTCCCCTCCCCTCCCCGTCCCCGTCCCCGTCCCCGTCCCCGTCCCCGTCCCCGTCCCCTCCCCTCCCCTCCCCCCAGTCAACTCTTGATGGAACTGCACCGATATACAAATATATTTACGCTAAAAGCCGTACCATCATGTCGCCACTTGTTCAACAACAGTAATTATGTAATAACAAACATAATGATAACATAAATAATTAACGACAATTTACCACTACTACAACATACAGTATCATACAGTCTGAATATACATCGGTGGATGTAACATCTTGGATGATGACGTCCTTTCCCCTGCCCCTGGTTCCATGGCCACATCTGTTGTCTGTTTTGTTGGTGGGGGTTTCCTGGGTCCCTGTGCAAGGGAGTATGCCTTTTCCTGGAGCTGTTGCTGTTGTGCTGTTGTGCGGCTTTGCAGAGAAGTTGTGCCAGTTCAATGTGTAGGTGGGAGGGAAGAGCCAATGTCAACCTCGGATTAAACTTTCTCGTTTTTGGCAGGAATTTTCTTTCGAAAGTTCATTTTGTCCCTCAGGACCTTACCCTGGCCCTGGAATCAGAGGACAGCGGACGCGGCGAGGGATGAACGCCATGATGGATGGCCAGTTCGTGCAAACCGGAACTTGGTGTTGGGAACCCCGGATGAAGCAGAACCCCAGCTTGAATTTGACTGGGGAATGTCCCCTTATTGTGGGGGATCAACTTTCGGAGGGGGAACCCTTCTAAAAGGATGGGTTCTATTTAGATCCGGGGTCCACATTAAACGAGTATAATTCACCATGATATTCCCCTTATCCCCATATTCCCAATTGGGTGCTCGGAACCTAAAGATGACCAAAGGGTAGAATTGTGGTTTCCTTGAGCCTTTGCCTGAACCCAAATGACCAACTTTTGTTCGGTTACCTTGAACAAACAAGCTTAAGGGAAGATGCCAGGAGTTAAGCCAGTTGAGCAAAATGAGCGCTGACATCAAGGCAAAGTTAAACCCAGGGTGGACCCAGGTCTACTTTCAATTCGTCAAGCTGGAATCCACTTCTGTGATGCCACGGGGGAAAGGCCGTTCCCAGGAAGCTAGTCGAAAAGTGCAAGCTTGCTATCTGACACTAAGAATACACAAGCTTGGACCTAGTACTATGAGAATCAATCTCCTAGCCATTCCATGTAAACCCGCAATGGTGTTCTGAATTCATGGATGCTTGCATATTCCGCAAGAACCAGCCAGCCGTGTCAGTGGGACCACATCGGACACTTCTCTTGCCAGGAGTGCTCATATACCACCAATATTTGCTTTCAAGTCAGTAGAAACCCCTTGAGAGGTATATCACCTCCCTACAGTTCGGTGAAAGTAGATGGCGCAGTTCCCCGCCATGTAGGTTTGGTCATTCCTTTTGTCCATATCTACCAGGAATTGTGATTTGTGCCATCTACCTTCATCCAACCCTCAACCCTGAACATGCCCTTTTACCCTAATTTGCTGATTTGGATCCAGAAGCAGGGGAGCCATTGCAGCCCTGTGACGTTGGGGACAAGCGACCATTATTCCATTGACCATTAGGGGTCATATTTGTTCATGGCTGCCTTGCAAGTGGGCTTTCAATCAATAACGGAATGCCAATGACTGCGCCAACCCCCCCCCCCCCTCCGCCACGCTGCCGAAGTTCGCCTTTGTACACCAACGCAATGGTTGTAAAAAAGCCATATTGTTTCGGCAGGAGCCCGAAATTCATTTCTGAAGACACGAAGACACGCGCCATGACCTTACATTTCCCGAAGAAAACAAAGTATGTTGTTTGAATTTCCCCTGGTTTTCCAGGGACTCCACTGGAAATCTGTTTGATTTCCCTTGATTGTCAAGGACATCCATTTTCTACGTTTTCGAGACAAAGCGAAGAAAGCCGCCCGGGGAGGTGTCCCCTCCTCCCCCCCTCCTCCCCCTCTCCTCCCCTCCTCCCCCTCTCTCCTCCCCCCTCCTCCTCCCCCCCTCATCCCCCCCCCCCCCCCCCCCCCCCCCCCCCCCTTCCCCCCCCGCCCGCCACCCCCCCGCCCCCCACCCACCGCACGGCTGGCGCCACGTTAGGAGCAGCAGGCGGCGCAGCTCACGGCGCAGCTCTCGCGGCGCCGCGGCGCCGCGGAGGCGTCGGAGCAGCGCTGCGCCGAGACGCGCGCGGCGGTGGAGGAGGAGGCGGCGGCGGTGGCTGTCGGGTGGGTGGCTGGGTGGCTGGCTGGCTGGGTGGGTGGTTTAGGTCTGGTGGCAAGGGAGCCGTTTTCGCATATATATATATATATTTGGGGGGTTGGGTCTTTTTGGTGGCAAGTGAGAGGGATCTAAGGGTGGGGAAGCCCTGGGCGGTTTAGGTCTGGCGGCGTTCCAGAGCTGGCATCCATTTTTTTGGGGGGAGCTAAGGAAGTAAGGAGCTGCCAGAAAACAAGGTTCGTCCTCGTGCCGCTTATTTTTGGACTAATTTCTCTGCCATGCACACAAACCATGGAGGAAAAGTGTTGTGCAGGACCCTGCGAGAGGGTGCCCCCAAGATAGACTCAACCCTAGTTGAAATCCTAAGCAGCCCTGAGTTTAGGTGGTGTCCTCCATTTCCCTCTTGGGAGCCTCCCAAAATGGCGATCGTTTCATTTGAAACCACCTGTACACTGTAACTTGATCAACTCTGAAGGAGAGATCCAGCGACCCCTGTGTGTGTTTTGGCGGGTTGAGGATTCATGAGGTTGATTACCCCCGTTTGGACTCAACCGTGGCTCCTAGCCGGCGCCCTGTTAGCAGCTTGATCTGGAGTTTTTGGCCGATCCCCCAATGGAGGATACAAAGGCCGACAAGTACAAGTCCCTTCGCATCTCGGCGTTTTTGTTTTTAGGTTTTTAGGGTTTAGTGTTGTTTTTTACTGTTTAGGGTTTATTGTTACAACCAAACCACTAGAATTTAGACACGTAGCGATCGAAGGGGAACAGCCCAGGCATTGAGGAGGGGGATGAGATGGAGCATCGTCTAGATGCCTTGAGAGAGGACTTTCTCAAGCTGCAAGATGATGAGACAGATCTGGTTGAGCATATCGACCTACTGACCCAGGCCTATCACACCAGGACTCAGTTGTTCAATGCCACCCTTTTTCCCTTCTTTCTTGGTGGCCCCACTAAAACTGGCCTTTCCCAAAAAGGATTAACCCCTTGTTTTCCAGGGTCACTGAACATCACACGAGGAAGGATCCGTTGCAGAAGGACTTGCAGCAGATCCGGGCGAAACTGCACAGCATGGAGCTGGAGATCTGGTCGCTGGAGCACGGCGAAGAGTCCGGAGAAGCCGCGCCGGGCCCGGAGAAGCTGTCCTTCGTGAACGGCAACGCCTTCGGCTGCCTCTGCTCCTTTGTGATCTTGGCCAACCTAACGGTCATGGCCCTGGAGTATCGCCAGGGCTCGGAAAGGTACCAACTCTTGGACCTGCTGTTCCTGGGTTTCTATGTGGTGGAGCTGGTGCTCAAGGGCGCCTACTTCCAAAAGACCTTGCTCTGCGGGAAATGCTCGGTGGTCTGGTGGAACTGGCTGGACCTCATCATCGTCTTGAGCGGGGTCTTGGAGCAAACCTTGGTGCCACTGCTGGGAAGCAGCGGGAGCCTACCCATCCACTTGTCCAGCTTGCGATGTCTACGACTGCTGCGTTTAGCCCGGGTGGCGAGGGCTCTGAAGCTGATCAAGTTTCTGCTACGCTCAGACCTGTCATGGACAGAGCATCCGGCCTTTGAGACCTTCATGATGGTGGTGATCATGATCAACGCCATCGTGATGTGGCTTGAGCTGGACTATCCACTGCCAACGCTCCCCGTTTGGACCTGTGTCGAAAACACACTACTCGTCATCTATGTCTTTGAGCTTTTCGTTCGCGTGGCATTCCACGGCGTGGGCTACTTTATTCATGAAGACTGGGCCTGGCACTGGTTGGACTTTGTGGTGGTCATGTTCGGTGTCTTGGAGCAGTGGATGCTCCCGTTTTGCGGGTACATCTACGAGCTGGCCACAGGCTCGCCCAGTCAGACGTCAGTGGCCCTTCCATTCTTGAGGTTGATGCGCGTGACTCGTGTGACTCGAGTGTTGCGTCTGGCGCGGCTTCTTAGGAAGGTGAGGCCTTTGTATCAGCTGCTGAATGGCGTCACGGCGTCCTTGCAGGGCGTTGGCTGGGTGATATTGGCAACTTTCATGCTGCTTTACTCTGCTGCGATTGTATTTACCACTATGGTGGGGAGGGGCTACATCTATGACAATCCGGATGAGATACCTGAAGCAGCGAAGGAAAACTACGCCACCGTCGCGAGATCTTTCCTCACCCTCTTCAAGCTGATGAATGACGACCAGTCAGTCGTGGAGCCCATTGTGACCACCTGGATCGGCCAGCTGCTGTTTTACTCCTTTATGATGCTGTCCAACTGGATGGCCCTAGCCATCCTCACCTCGGTGGTCAGCGACAATATGATCGCGGCCAGTCGCCAGCACGACGAGCACGAGACCTTGCACCAGAAACAGCTGAAACAAGCGCGCGCGAAGGTACGACTCAAACAGATCTTCGGGAAGCTAGACCAAAACCAGGACTTCCACCTGAACCTTTTTTGGCGTTTTTCCAAGGGCATCCATGACTGGACTCAAGATGTTTAAGCTAGGGGAACTCCGGAAATCATGGGTTTCCTGTTGGTTTGCCTTTAAGCCAGCCCAAACAAGGGACTTCAGCAAACAAGTAGGACCACCCAACAAGGTGTTGTTCCCTTTGGTTTCCCGCCCAAAAAAAGGCCCAGCTTGGTACGCAGGTAACCGGAAAACAGAAAACTGTGGATGGACGACATCCTGCACCATTTGAAAACCATGGTTAAAACGATTGTTTGTTGGTACTTACCAGGGAATCATCAGAAACCAGGGTTTCCTAGGCGGTGCGAAACGGATTTCGCAACCATCCACAGTAGGACCCACCCAAAATGGTGTTGTCCCCCCCCCAAAAAAAAAGGATGCCCAGCTTGGCTTTTTTTTCGTTTCCCCCCCCCCCCCCCAAAAAGAAAGAGGCCCAGCTTGGTGCCCAGTGAACCGGAAAGCCGAAGCAACAGGACGGGTGCATCACGGAGATGGAGCTGGAGCAGTTCCTGAAGGACGAGCTGCAGCAGCAGGAGCTCTGTGAAGCCGCGGGGCTGCACCCCGCCGACCTGGTGGAGGTCTTGTACTGCACCCCGGAAAAGCACGAGGGGTGTTGTTTCTTCCAGTGGCTGAAATGTTGTTATTGTGTCTTCGTCTTTTTTTTGCTTTAAAAAAACAAAAACAAAAAACCTGTTGGTGTTAAAGGGAATCTATGACGACGACTGTTTTTGTTGTTCTTTTTCCAGGGGGCTCAAGCCAATGGAAGGCCACAATCAAAAATCCGGTGGATGAAGGTTGGTAAGGGACAACCCCCTTGCCATAAGTAGTAGCCGATATCCGCCTTCATATTTCCTTACATGGCTCTGGGGCAACCATTTTAAGACCGGGTTTTGATTGTGACTCACCTTTTGGAGCTGGGTGTGCCGTTTTCAGCGGAACTCTTCAACCCTTTTGGTTGGTGGGATACCAACCGGAAAGCAATCAGTTTGGGGGTTCCATATCCGATTTAGGTTTGTTCCATATCCATATCCTTTTCTTCCATTTGCTGAAACAAATGTTTTTTTCGCCTGTTGGTTCTAGAGGGAATCTATGACTACTGGAAATATGATTGTTTCTTCAAGGGGGCTTAAGAAAGTGGAAGTTTTGGAGCTCCAGGGTGTGTCGTTTTCAGCAAATGGAACTCGGAACCAACCCTTTTGGTTGGAAAACACAGCCCCCCTGGCGTCTCCTGCTGTTTGGTAAGGGGAGACCAAAAGGACACCAATCAGTTTGGGGGTTCCGTATCCTATTTGAGTTTGCTAATCTCGGCTAGCCGAGGCAAAAGACTCATTTGCTCAGGGCCAACAAAGCTGTTGAGCAACACTTCTGGTTTCCCCCTTGGTCCCGGTCTTAGTTTCCCTTCTTCGGTCTTTCCCCTGCTTGATCTTTTGGCTGTTTATCCAGTCCTCATTTCACCTTTGGACCTGCCAGGCACCGGCTACGAAACCAAAGAAGGGGAGAGGAGGCTCTTGTACCGCCAGTTCCTGCAGATGCTCCGTGGCTGCGTAAAGACCTTTCTTGCAGATGCCGCGCGCATTTTTTGTTTTTTTTGTGTTTCGCGTTGTTGTGACATGAAAGGTGCCCAACCTTTTATGGACCTTCAGGTTTGACAGTTTTTGGCTTCTCCGAATTAGGCAGTTAAAAGCTGATCCACCTTTCCCAGGCTCCAGGACGAAAGTGGCCCGGTCTCGGAGCGGAGCATCTTCAAGATCATGGAGCGGCTTCGCGCCATGGAGTTCCGGGTGGAGCGTCGCCTCACCGCGGTGCTGGAGCGCCTGGTGCCGCCAAATGAGCTGCCGCCCGCCTTGCCGTCTTTGGAGCAGGAGCTCGATGCACTGAGACTCCTCGAGGATTCACCTGCGCGATCTCTGGTGAAGGCAATGTCCCGGAAACACCTAGGGAGTGCAAGAGAACTCGACGGAGGGGAAAGCCGCGGCTTGTCCAGCTACGCGTCCTCGTATCACCAGTGAATCACCACTGAATCACTTCGAATCATTGCTGAATCAGACCTGCAAATGCAGATGAAAGAACTCTGAGCGACGTAGAACTCCAGGGTTCCATGTCCAACTCTTGGGCTTGGTCAAAGCATCTTACGCGCCCGGGGTCTACAGCTCACTTTTTCTGTTTTCAATAAAAGGGGGGGGGTCAAGGGAAACCAACCGGACAATTTCGCCACGGGGTCCAAATATGGGTGTGCTTTTTGTTGAAGGTACCCTTGTTTTTGGCAGTTTTAAACAGCAGCCAAAGTTTGAAAGGGAAAGCTACCATATTGGGGGCGGGGGGGGGGGGGGTCGCAAAAAGAAACACGCCTATTTTACCACACCGTGCGGAAAGCTCGGATGTTGGCCGTCCCACTCGGAAGTGAGTTGTTGTTGTTTCTTCGGGGTTTGATCCTCACCCGTCAATCGATTTGGGGGTGAGGGGAGAACCCTGGACTTCCGTGTATGGTTCCAGTTGTGTGGGTAACTTTTGGAGAATGGGACAGAATCCTCCACCCCTCCCCCATGAAGGTAAGGGGATTAAGGGGGGGGGTTGGGTCGAGGGTTTCCACAAACCAACTAGACAAGTAGAGTATAATTTAGGATTTTCATCGAAAGAGAAACTCTTTTGGGGGTTCACAGGAGAACCATGGCACTGACACAGTCCTGCAGTTGGTAGGTGGACTATCCCGTCTATCCCAGTTTTAAGAAGCCGCAACCCCCCCCCTTTACCCCCCCCTGCTTTGGGCCAAATAGGTGGGAAGCTTCCCGAAAGCCTTGGGGAAGCTTCCGGAAGCCTTGCGGAAGCTTCCGGAAGCCTCAGGGAAGCTTCGGGAAAAAGGGGGGGAGATTGAAACAAGGGTGGTTCCCCCCTCCCCACCCCCTTTTTCCCGAAGCTTCCGGAAGCCGGAAGCTTCCGGAAGCTTCCGGAAGCCTTGCGGAAGACTTACGGACTTCTGAAGCTTCAGGGGAGCGGACGGGAAGGGCAGGGGACGGGGAAGGAAGGAGTGTGAGGGGGACGGGCATGAGCGTAGTGGTGGGTGTCATTTTCCAGGGCTTGTCGCGCCAGTCAGTGGGGAACCCTTTGGGAGCCAAATACTTTAACAGTGTTATAACACTCCAATAGCAGTGCTATAGCATGTCTCAAGGGGGGGGGGGGGTAAGGGAGGGGGGGGGTTATGCTTTCTTAACAGTTTCACGCATCCCAGCTTCTAGGGGTTGAGTCCAACCATTCTTTTCAAGTTGATCTTTCAAAATCCGGATCCGTTTTCCCTGGGTTTCTGGAAATTGTCTAGAAAGAAGGGTCCCTGGAAAGAATGGGGACTGCACCCCTAGACTCAACTGGTCGAGTTTGGCCGCCTGCATGGACCGTTGCCCGTCCCAAAACTGGTCGCAGGAGAACGCCGTTGCCCAATTCCAGAGGGAGGTGGAGCATGCAGAGGCGCGACAAGTACCAGGGCATGTTCCTGGGTTTGGAGGTATGGACGTTACAAGCTACTTGTTTTAAAGTTTATGTTGTGTATTTGTTTAAACAACAATCAGGCTGCCTTGCACACTTGTCTTGGTGATACACAAACATGCTTCTTCTCCAAAACGCATACCCCAGGGAACACAGATTTAGAGCTGTGATTCCATTTGCACTATCTTTGAACCCTTAAAGTGAAACTTGCCAAGAGGGTTTGCGAAATTGAGATTCCTTTGCAAGCACGTGTTCGGTGTTCCATCTAACCTTTAACTGGCAGTACTTTAAAGGGCAATTTGGGACTGGATTCAGGGAAGCCGTTTAGCGGGTTCTACCAGATTCTGATCCCTTGCGCAGCCCAAGCATGTGTAGCCTCCGATTTCGGAATCCATTTCTTTCCAATTCAACAGGCCACGCAAAAGTCATTTTGGGTGGGGCTCAAAGTTTCAGACCCAATGCAGGTTTTAGTCTGTTCCATTAACCAAGGTTCTATCTTGATTGGGAAATCCTTATTTTTGAGCCACATGGAAGCCCCTTTCGCGGGTGTTTAAACATGTTGAAACGCTCAACCCTGGGACTGGCTTCTCTCGGATTTCGGCTTTGCAGTGGTCCTCCAGCTGCCAAGCTTACGGAAGTCACCTGGACCAAATGGTTGGGACCCATCTAAAGGGGTCCCTTCGGAAAATCGCGGGTTCCCTGGTGAGGGTCCATGTTTGTGGATGGGGTGCCCCTTGCAAGAAATGTCCTTTCCCCACGCAACAAAAGAAAAAGGGACTCCCATATCATGAGGGACAATCTGAGGGCAAATCAAGCAGCTGAGCTTTCTGGCAGGTACGTCTTGCAGCACGTGCGCGAGGGCAGGGCAAGGCGGGATGCGGGGATGTACCAGGAAGGAGTTTCTGAGTGACTCCTAAGTTCGGCTGTCATTTGAACTTGGCAGCCTTTTACTATCCTTTGAGGTCTTTTGGTATCCTTTCTTGATCTATGAGCTTCCCCAATTCCCATGCGATGCTCACAGGTTTCTGCGCCCAGGCGCCTCAGATGGAACCATGACATATATAAACCATCCCCGATTTGGTTCCTTTATTCGAGAATCCCCAATCCCAACACCCGGTCTCGGTCATAGCTATGGCACCAGCAAGAAAGCATGTGCCCTCTGCCCATGCTTGCAACCTGTTCGCATGGAAGGACTGGATGGAAGCCATTCGGGCAGGGAACATTCGATAAAAAGCGACCCTCTTGCAAAACAGTTTGCGTTGATATGAGGTCAATATTACAAGGTCGACGAGCTCTAAATTTCCCGCAAATCGTAAAGGGACTCACTCATTTTCCCATGGCCTCTTGCGGAAACCAGTAATTGTGACCCTGGCTCATATATGATTCGGGTTTGAGGCAACATGTAAAACTGGTTACCAAATTTCAGGGCTGCCTCTCTGTGCTGTCGACCCCAAGTGCTCGTTGCATTGCAGTTGTGTGTTGTTGCTTAAAGTCCTTTGTTTTTTTTGTTGTGTGTGTGTGATTGCGTGAGGGGCTGCAAAGTCTCCAGAGTCCCCTTTTGTTTCTCTATGTTGCTTTATTTTAACAGATGTAGTCGTGTGAGGGATTGCAAAGTACCCTTTTGTTGTCGTCAGTTCTGAGGAGCTGCAACGTGTTTTGTTTATGCATACCACAGGCTCGCACATTCACCATGACTTGGAGTAACATGAAGGGCTGAACAAAATCGAATGCCCTACGCTTATGATTGTGGCCTTGAATTGGTTCAATTGCCCCCCAACCCCATTCCAACTTATCTAGGTCCCCACAGTTCACTCCAGGAGTTTCTTTGTTTTATACTGTGTCGTCAGAAAACAGGGAAAAAAAAACAGTCTGTAAAGTGGCAAACACTTGATTCAATCCGCTCGTTTGGAAGCGAGAAAGGCACCTGTCAGGCACCCATGGGTGAGCTGGCGGAGCTGAACAAGCCTGGGGCCCGGAAATCGGAAAGCGAGACTACTCCGCAGTTGGGGGAAACGTGGGTGTCTTGTTTTGAGCGCAGCCCTGTTTTTTTCTCGTGGTTTTAATAGGAAGCCAAAGGGAAACCCACCCTGTTGGGAGGCCCCCTGAAACAAGACCCACTGAAATTTGGGTTTTCAGAACTGTTCTTGTGATACCACGGAATGCTAATTTTCCACAGCAATGCAACATTCTGGAGGGGGGGGAGGGGGCTAGTATGTGCCGGACGGGGAAGCCCAAGCCAAAGTCCCAAAGGGGCGGCAAGCAAACGCGTTCCATGTCCTCTTGGGCCTAGCGAACATTGTCCGTGGCTTCTGTCAGTTTCTTTGCATGGTTGACAAAGGGCACGCCCTAGTTTCATGTTGTGTTTTATGGTTTCTCAGATTTAGCCTGGACACAGTTTAATTAGTGTCATGAGAAGCATGGTAGTCCTGAAAAATGCTTGACATGCATGTGCGAGCACGAGAGCTTATGTGTGTGTTTGCTGTTGCGCCAGTCTTGGACACTTGCGAACAGAATGGCCTCTGAAATGTCAAACGTGGCCTCATATTTCAGGCACTGTGTATTCTTTTGTCGTGGAGTTGTGGTACTGTTTTTTGCCGGGACCTCCGGTGCCCTGTTGTCCTTTGTGCTTGTGTTTCTTGTCAATGTTTCCTTGTTGGAGGGTTTTGGAGGGGGTGCCCCTGTTAAATCAACTAGCAAAGGTAGTTGCCCAGATTTTCGTCCTTGTTTCTGATTGAAGTTCCCAGGGCTCTACTTTGGTTTCTTTGGTGTCAACCCCCTGCCTTTTTCTGCTGGGACACTGAACTGCTGAGATTATGATGAAATCTAATTCCTGTGTCACACAAATATAGGGGGCCCGCCCATTCCCTTGTGGTTTCCCTTTAAAGCGACCAACACAAAACACCCTCAAACAAGTCACGCCCACATATTTTAACATTTATGCATAACTGTAGACCTAAAGAAACCCTAAACAAAACTAAACCTCACCCTAAGTCTACCTTAACCCAGCCAAAGCCAGCCCTAACCGAAACCAACCCTAAACCCTAGAAATACATTTCCGCCGAACCTAGCAAAAAAGATCCCTTGCGCCATGTGACCCTTCGCACCGTTTGCGTGACCCTTACTGAATGCTAGTTTTATACCGCTTATGCTTAGCTACAAGCTAGTGGTTGTATACCTGGTACGGCCTGAGCAGCAAGCAACTTTTGTGGGTACTGTTTTTGTTTTGTCCCCCAATTGGCTTGGCGTGGGAATGTTGCCGGGCGATCAGAACACAAACAAAGACACGATCTGCCTTTGGGTTGGCATCCCCCCTTGCTGGGGTCAGTACTTTGACTAGGTGTTGTCCAAGTCTCCTCAAATAGGGGCGATAAAGCCGCCAGCCAAGGGTGGGAGTCAAGCCTAAGCTCCTCAAATTTCAAGCTTCCGAAGGTGAAACCACGTGCTTTTCTCGGGTGAACAAGTTATGCACATGAATTATCCATGAGGCAGTTCGATTTAATTCATAGTACACGCCCCAATCCAAGCATGAATACCGGCACCCCTTACTTTACACGCCTAATATTGGAATGTGTTCTTGCAAAATGTG